ATCTGTGAAGGTTAAAATGTTCTGGAGCTTCATCTCTGGTAGTTGTAAGAGAACTGGTGTAAAAGTAAAATCTGCTAATTAATTAAATATTCTGAGTTAGCCACTGTGGTGACTCCTTGTAAATAAGGGAGAAGCTAGTACTAGACTTTCAGATAAGTCTAGACAGCAGGAAAAATATCTCCAAACCTCCTGTACCTGTAAATGTTGCTCATGTTTTCTCATATAAACTGAATTGGGGCCCACCCATGGACAACCTCATGTTGACAGATTGTTTCAGTTCATCCAACATATGGTGACCTCCAAATGGGACCCTTCCAAACCCCTGGTGACGTTTCTCAAATTCCCCAGCACATAATGCACACTTTGCTTGAATACAGCACAGACAGAGCAGAATGTGTCGCCATGAGTCAGTGAAATTTTAATCGCTTTTTTTCCACATCTGTGACAGTAAATAAACTACATTACCAGTATTTAATAATCCTGTATTTTAATTTGAAATGCACCACTCCGTCTTTATCTCCATTAGATAAGCACCCTCAACACCATTTTCTCTGTATAAGAATCACTGAAGAGAAAAGCAATGATAATGTAATATGTTTTGCCATTGAGGAGAAAGAGCTCCACCTCCTGGTTTGTCTATAGGTCTCATCGTTGCGCTCCTTATTTGACAGGTCATGGTCACCAACGTGACGTCGCTCCTCAAAACAGTGAAGGCAGTAGAGGATGAAGCCACCCGTGGGACGAGGGCACTTGAAGCCGCCATTGAGTGCATCAAGCAGGAGCTGACGGTAAGCGCACCTGACAGGTCAAAGGTCTTCTTTATAATTTATTTGGAGTCAAAATGTTGAGACCCTGCTTTTCTGGAAAAAAGATCTCAAAGAAGATATCTGTATCTATAATTCAGGGGAAAACAGAGAAGCTTTTTGTTCTGTGTTCTTTTGTTATGGCCAGTTCTTTTCCTCCTGATTCCTTCTTAACTCCTGCAGGTTTCCCACAACACTTATCAGGGTCTGGGTAGCAGATGTGAGTGAGGAAGGAAGATTTTAAGACTGTTTTTTTTTTCCCTTGAATAAACTGCTAATTCTTATCAGATGACCTTACATTCTAATTATTCTGGTTTCTATGTCAATATTTTCTGTCCATTTAAGTCTATAACTGCTCTACAACATTCACGTGCACTCGTGTATTATCATATCTGAGCTCCATGGCTATATCAACCTGTGCTTGTGGCTCATCATCGTGTCAGGTGTTCCAGTCCAAGGACGTCCCAGAAAAGTCCACTTCACCTGAGGAGTTCACCCGCATGACAAAGGGCATCACCATAGCAACAGCCAAGGCAGTGGCCGCAGGCAACTCTGCTCAGCAGGAGGATGTGATCGCCACTGCCAACCTGAGCCGCAAAGCCATCTCCGATATGCTGACTACCTGCAAGGTGCTAATCCACACCGCTCGACCAAAGCAGACCTCACGCAGACAGCACCAGGCTGCCAGGGAGCATGTGAGCCCAGCCTGTGGAGAGCAGATATTACAGAGGCTAGTCTACTGTATGTCTGCTCCCACTGCTAATGACTCAGTCACTTTTCAAAGTCATGCAGCGAAGCATCACTCAGGACGTCCTTCAGCAAACAGCAGGGCGCTTGTAAAAAGACAAAAATAAAACCATGTACAAACATTGCAGGCTGTGGTTTTAAAAATCAAAGCACAACAGTGACTGAAGACTTGATTTTCTGGTAGCTTTGAATTTTATCTGTAATTGGAACTATGTAAAGTGCAAAATGCTCTCTCAATATGCTCTCCCTGACCCCACGCAGCGCATTTGCACTCGTGTTAAATGTTACCTTTCCTATGGGAACAATTTCAGGGTCCTATCCTAAATCTCCTGTTCTCCTGTATTTTTTTCTTACCCTTGCAGCAAGCAGCATATCACCCTGAGGTCAGTGAGGAACTGAGGAGTAAAGCCCTGCAATATGGCTCTGAGTGCACCACCGGATACATCAACCTTCTGGAGCAAGTCTTGCAGGTTGGAAAGAAGTAGTCTCATAAATAAAGGATACAAGTGATTTTGTGTGCATCTCCTGGCCTCTTGCACTCACCCTGCACTGATAAAAAAAGTCTCAGACTTCCTCATAGGATAAAACGCAAAAATTGTGTTAGGCCGCTATGCAAGCCTTTAGAAAATCTGATTTTGATTTTTGTTTATTTTTTCTGTTGTTGAATATATTTGCATAGAAATTAGCAACTCATTCTGATGAAATTGCTTTGTTGCAAAAATTACTGCATGAAGACTGCGTGAAGACAAGTGTGTCCATGTGAGACAAATTGCCAGTTAATGCATTAAGTATCATAATTACGGATCTCGTTTGCATAATTAATGGGCACATCATACCGAGTCTGGCAAGAGATCAGGCACACGAAGGACTTTAAAATCCACAATATATAACTTAGTTACAGAAATAGTTGCTCAAGTAACAAAAACGGATCCTCAACTTTTACATTCTGCAACATAGGTTAGCGTCTTTCAGCAAGTTAATTATAAATTATACTCTGAATTCTTAACATGTAATCGAGAAAGATTAAAAATGAACAGATTTGTTTTGTAAAGAATTATCTCTGATTAATCTTTTACCTTGTGTTTACCTGTGTGTGTGTGTGTGTGTGTGTGTGTGTG